AACTTTGTTTTTGTATTTATATATCTGTTGCTTCCATTAAACAGTGAAGGCAAGTTCAACTTTGTTTTTGTATTTATATATCAGTTGCTTCCATTAAACAGTGAAGGCAAGTTCAACTTTGTTTTTGTATTTATATATCAGTTGCTACCATTAAACAGTGAAGGCAAGTTTAACTTTGTTTTTGTATTTATATATCAGTTGCTTCCATTAAACAGTGAAGGCAAGTTTAACTTTGTTTTTGTCATTAAAGATTATATTTTCTCAACTATTCCAAATGGCATTTAAGTTATAAACTCTTTAAGCCTATATTAATCACAGATGAAGGATTTGAAATCTGATACAGTAAAATGGAAGCCTGATACTTAGCTGTAAGCACTGTCAAGTATTGTCCTTTGTTCCTAAATTAGCATAGCTTGCTGTATGTTTAGTTAAATGTAAAACAACATGAGAAAGACAGCTTTTCAGAAGATAGTTTGTACTGTATGAGTTAAGAATGACATTATTTTTGTAATAGTGCTAAACAATCATACAATTACAATTAATGTTCAGCAGTCTGAAAAACTTCAGTGTGAGATCAACCCACTAAGCACATATTTTGCTGCTGTTCAGTAAAGTCATGGTAAAATTGTCAATATAAACTTGTTAATAAGTAAAAAAGGTAAAGTAACTAAATGTACTTACTGTACGATTTTAAATCACTCATAAATCTATAGAATCCAAACTCTGTCTATAATTTTACTTTTTAATTTGAAACATTGTTTCAAAACTCTTAATACTCTTACAAATCGACCAATGAGATATAAACTCTCAGTATTGTTAAGCAATAAAAAACTGTGGTGTACAAGTTTACTGTTTCTTTTTTTTTTTTAAGTAATTGTTAATATCTAAATTAAATCTTGTATAGTTCCTTAAATTTGATGTCAAACTATTTGGAAGAAAAGAATAAACAAAAATGTAATATCTTTCCCTGTTTGACTTTGCTCACTAAAGTTTTCGTGTTCATTAGGGTTTTTGTTCTTCTGGTTTCTTGCAATTTGCACACTGGTTAGTGTTACCATAACTGCAGGGCTTCGTGTTTGAGAAACACAGATGAGCTTTAAACTGTGTTCCTGAAAATTGCCACAGTTGTAATTGCACTCAAACCCTGAAAATCCGGAGG